ATGCCCCGCCGTCATCTGTTACCTCCACACCCCGGACTCCCCGGATGGACTTCTCCCGTATGACTGGCAAAGGCCGAAGGGAACACAAAGGTCAGAAGAGGGTAGTCACAGGAGTGGGAAGAGCCAGCTTGGGGAGGGGGTGTGGGGTAGCTCAGCTCCTGTGAGTCTCTGTCCCTCAACTCCAGCTATAGAGAATAAGCTGACTCCCTGTTTCAGTGACGTGGTTTCTCCTTTGGCCCACCACTGGCCCAAACCAGATTTTGGAAGGACCTCTGGGGTTCCCAGCCTCCTGAGACTTACTTTCCTCTCAGGCCCAAAGACCGTTCCCAATTTTAGGGATGAATCTGTCTCTAGGGGTTATTGTTCCAGAAGTTTCTGGAGTAGAATAGTTTGTGAATAAAGGGACTCTCAGACTAAAATTCAACTTCATCTTACCACCATCCTGAGTCCTGGGGCTATAGGCAAACACCACTGCCTTCAACTCCTTTTACTCTTTTTTTTTTTTAAGGTTTATTTATTATGTACACAGTTTTCAACCTGCATGTATCCCTGCAGGCCAGCAGAGGGCACCAGATCTCATTACAGATGGCTGTGAGCCACCATGTGGTTGCTGGGAATTGAACTCAGGACCTTTGGAAGAACAGTGCTCTTAACCTCTCCAGCCCTCCTTTTACTCTTTGGTCATGCTGAGAATTGCATTCAGGACTTGACGTGGGCTAAGCAAGTGCTGGTCTCCCAAGCCACACCTTCAGCTCCCTTGCTTGCTTGCATTTTCAGAGGAACCCCAGGTTCCTGACTTCTGCCTCAGGCTTTTCCTTTGGTCTGCATGTATTTACCTTCCATTTCCAGGGAAGAAGAAGTCCCCGTCTTCCCCATCTCTGGGCAGCCTGCAGCAGCGTGAAGGGGCCAAGGCTGACGTCGGAGACCAAGTCCTTGTGGCAGGCCCAAAGCAGGGAATTGAACCCTTCTACGGGAAGACTGACTTTGCCCCAGGTGAGGGTGGGAGCCTGGCTAGGGTGGGGCCCAGATGCCTAAGGCTCTGGGATCCATCCTTAGCACCGAGGGTGAGGCCTCCTCACTACACCCTGTTGCAGGTTACGGGTATGGCATCGAGCTGGCCCAGCCTACAGGCAAACATGATGGCTCCGTGTTTGGTGTTCGGTACTTTACCTGCGCCCCACGACATGGGGTCTTTGCACCAGCCTCTCGCATCCAGAGGTGAGCCTCGCTCTGCCCCTCAACTCGGGAAGCCACCTAGAGCTCATGTCTCCCCTCAGATGGCCTCCTCTTAGACTAGGAGAACAACATAGTTGATTCTTATACTATAGCTCTTTCCTTTGGGCGCTCTCGGGTTCAGCCCCGAGCCTTTCATGGCTGGGCTCTGAGTTTTCTTTGTTTCTCCCCAGGATTGGGGGCTCCACCGATCCCCCTGGAGACAGTGTTGGAGCCAAAAAAGTGCATCAAGTGACAAGTGAGTTGTCTTAGGCTGGGAAGCAGGGCTGTAGGTCCTCGGGTGTCTGTTAGTGACAATCTCTGGCATTTAATTTGATACATGTGGCCCAGAAAAACGTAAGACAGCGTCCCAAGGAAGATAGGTACTGTAGATACGGGGAAGTTAGCAAGGCTATGAGGGTTTGGAATACAGTTTAGTTGTAGAGCCCCTGCCTCGAATTCCTCAGTGAGGGGCTGGGGTGTGGCTCAGTGGTAGAGCCCCTGCCTAGA